AATGAATATTGAGCAGAATTAAGTTCAAGTTATCGTTGGTTCGGCCCTCCAACACAGTTCAGGTTTCTCATGTGGCCCCTTATAAAAATTAAATTGCCCACCCCTGATCTAGAGCTACATTTCTATAGAATGCAGTCCACTACAACACCACCACTGACTTCCACCTCTGTAATAAACATAATTAATTTAACATCTCTCTGACAGGGTCAAGAATATCTGAGTTAATTTGCCTTACGCTGCATGTGATGCAATGTGACTATTGTACATATGGAAATAATGATGCTGAATTGACATATCGTATTACCTACTTTTTACTGGTATTTATACCCATCATTTAATTGTCTGCACGCTGATGGTCATGACATTGAAAGCAGAGGTTTGATTATTTGTAGCAAACCTCATCAGCTGCCTGTGTGGCCCAGCCATTCTGTCTCCACATACATCAGTTAACACATACTGTCTAGATGAGGGATAAAACCTAGCTGAGGTGCACTTCACTAAGGCAGAACAGTGCAATAATTTTGGAGATACATAGCCATTGCCATTTTCACCCCTTGATTATTTGGAAATGGTGATATCCTCTCTTTGTGTAAAGAGGTTTGCTGCTACTGTATGAAGAGTTCCAATTGTCTGTGCATATAATCGCCACACACTACCAACCGTTACTGTTTGCAACAAGTTAAGTGTCTGGGTGAAACCCCATCACCACTCCGGCGGCAGCATGACAACAGTCGCACGTGGACCACCACCACCTGGGTGCAGAGAGCAGACGTGCTACAACCGACTTACCTAACACCCCACTGGCAGCACTGTCCAACGTCCCTCCGTGACCGATCTTCAGACTCTGTTTCTTTCTCTTCCGCGGGTTTGGGTTTTGTTCACCAGCTTCTGAAAAATATGCAACGCAAAACATTTCTGTCAGCTTCAACAAAGGACAATAAACTTAATGTTATTTTTTTTTTGATTGTCCAGTTGTACTACCCTTGAGTAAAGCTTCTTTTAGTGCATTTAACACGTCTGCAGATGTAGGCCCTCGTTTTTTATATATCGCAAAAAGCCCATTTAAAGACTGCAATTTAGATAAAGAACTCGTTATCTGAAGAGCAGTGTTACTTGTAGTCCCAGCCATGCTTGTTTTATTCTTCTTCGGATGAAACTCTTCTTCGTCTAGTTTAGTTGCCAACTGTGTCTTAGCAAAACCCTTGTTGTATTATCGCCACCTGCTGATTAAATAACTTAATAACTATGTCACGGACTCGCAAAATAAAATTTTATTATGCAGTATGATATTAAACAGCCTAATGTTGTGCATTTTTAGTTTGTCTGTAGTTTTACTAATGTCTTCGGGGTAAATGCCTGAAAAAAAGCTTACGTTTCCAAAACTACGACGACCAAGATTCTTTGCGCCGAAATACACTTCCTTGTTATTTTTAACTTCCTAGTTACTTTGCCGCTTGGCTTGCTATGCTTGTCAGTTGTGATATGTACAACAAAGCTGCTTGGACGATGTTTGTGCTGTAATGTTAGCTGCTGAGGTTTGTGTGTTTTTGTGTCTGAAAGTATCACTGTTGGTGTTCAGGAAAACCTTCATAAGCTTATTAAATTTGCATGTCGGTTAACCATTCGATAGCATCGCACGAGCGTTTTACTCGTATTGGAATAACGTTACAATACGCCACACTCCCATTCACAATTCGGCAACAAAATTTTAGCCTACTTGTCAGCAAATTACACGTATTGTAAAATATAAGGCAACGCACTTTTTATATCTATGCAAGCCATATTCTAATTCGGCAAACATACGACCCGCCAAGCAGTATTTATTTCATTTAATTGTATGTTTTTGAGTTTGTGCAGACTGCTTCTTGCGTCGGATGCTTTCGAATTTAATAGCTGATTCTTGTGGTATCGGACAGATTTTCCAGGTCGTCTGTCAAAGCCTGTTCCTCCTTCAAATAGCTTCCCCCTACCTAACGTCCCGTTGGGTTAGGGCTTAACGTTATGTTACAGTTAACGTAGCGTAGCAGATATAACTGGTTGGGGTTGGCACAAGAATGAAGGGAAGAGGAATGGACATTGATGAGGAAACAGACTTTGACAACACAAAGGCAGCTAATTACTGCTGCTTGACTCTGGTCATACTGCAGTACTCCTGTATCAGCTTCCACTGATGGTACTGACCTGCTTAACACATCTATCAGAGATAATCCTCTTTGAGGTGTAGTTTGAAAGCATCTGGTGCACAATAGAGCTGTTACTAACAATTATTTTTATTACTGAATGTTCTGTTGTGTTATATTAAACCTTTGGTAAATAAATATCATAAATTGAAATACCAATCATGGCCATTTTTGTTGATCATTCAGCTTGATCAATGGGTCACATTCCACGGGAAAGAAGGAAACCGTGAAGAAGGCATAAGTGCAACTCAGATGAAAATGAAAGACTGGTGACCCAAATGGAGGACTTCAGGCAGATGTACCTGCGTCTATGTAAGGAGGGAGGTGTGGAGCCTCAGGAGGGTCTTGTGTCTAAGCTGAGAGAGAGCACTGCTCAGGGTTCCAGACTGGACTTGAGTGGGCAGAGTCTGTCTGCAGATACCTGCTCTGTGCTGGCCAGGGCCTTCCAGAAAGATCTCATCTTCACAGAGGTGTCGCTCAGTGATTGCATGCTCAGCGAAGAAGGTGTGTGAGATTTTAAGACTGGCAGTCTATATGTACCCTGACATAGGTATTGTTAGTTGCTTAGTATAAAAGCAGTTGTCAACTAGCATACATTTATATTCTTGAAACAACTTTTTTTCATACGGATACTGACTGGTACAGTGCTTTACTCTGCTCTTTGAAAAAGAAATGATTGGGGTTGAAAGAGATGTCATTCCAGTGTGCAGCTTATACTCCTTATGACCCTTCAGTTTAGCCTGTAATTTGTTGGGGACTATTGTCAGTGGCTGATCATTTCACATTTGGTGCTTTAGTGAGTATGTGGGGCAGCAAGATGAAGTTTGTGGGATGAGTCAGATAAACAACAATACTCTATGGCACGGAGGAAGGAAGAAAGATAGATCAGCAAGCTGCCACTACAACAGTGTCACCTTTTTATATATCAGGCTTTGGATACATACACAATACTTAGCAGGAGATATTCATTGTTGTTTTGACTCATGAAATGTGATGGCAGTATAACATTATGTCTAACAAGTGTCTGCTTCCATGCGTACTTCTCAGGTGCCAAAGTACTCCTCACCGGACTGTTTGGCAACACAACCGTGAAAGTCCTGGATCTGAAGGTACCACCTGCCAAGTGTCAGCACTGTCTAACACTAATTATTTCACGTGTATTGATAGACAGTTGATGCACAATAATTTTCACAGGGGAATAACCTGAGATCAACGGGGGCAGAGGTCCTGGGAAAGTTGCTGGTGCACAATAAGACCCTGCGTAGGTAAGAATGATAATCTTCATGTGAGAGTATTTTCTGGTGATGCAACATACATGTATTTTTTAATCTAAAAATCCAGATGTTTTATTAGCTGGAGGGTTCGGCATGCTTTCACATTAGTGTGCAACATAATTCTTGTTTCATAAAATACTAAACTCTTTAAAAAAGTTTTTTAAACTCCTGGCCAAGCTATTTACTGTTTCTGCAGCTTTCATGCACATCTTATGGTCTTTATCAGTCTTCGTTAGTCTTGAAGCACAAATGGATCCTCCACTAACAGATCTACTCACATCTAGGACTAGTCAGAGATATACAGCTGACTGACAAATTAAAGGAACAAGCAACATCAATTGACCAACAAATTAGTGAAGTGTCTCCAGAACAGCTTCACTGGTCCTCTACTGAAGGGAGGAAACATTCTTTCCTAGAGCTGCAGCCATTAGTCAGTTTAGTGACAGAAAATGAGCAAAAATCATAACACAACAATTAAATAATATACTGAATTTTTTGTCACGGTTGCAAAGTTTGTTATATTAAAAGTGTGACATATATGGTATTTTATTCTTTGATTTGTTTGAAGAAGACATTTGAAGAACCATCTTTGTGTCTGGAAAAACAAAATGGGCATTTTTCTAGTGTTTGACATTCTGTGAATAAAAATATAAATCAAATAAGCAAGAAAATGATCAGATTAATCAGTGACTCCTGCATGTTTTTTTTTTTTATTTCTGCTCATTTATTCAAATTCCAATTTATATAGTGCCACATCACAACAGAAGTCATCTCAGGACACTTTACAAAGTAAGGTCTAGACCTTACTATTATTATTATAGAGGAAAACCCAACAAAACATGCTTTGAACAAGCACTTGGCGACAGTGGGGAGGAAAAACTCCCTTTAATGGAAGAAACCTCTGAGAGACCCCGGCTCTTGGTGGGCGGCCTTCTGCCTCGACCGGTTGGGGTGAGTGGATAGAGGAGAGACAAAAGAAGAAAAGCAACAAGACACAACAATCAAGCACTAGGCAGCTTGATGTTGCCAGTGACTGCTCATCAGAAATGTAGAGCTCCAGAGCCAGGGCTACCTGCAAATATTCAGGATGTACTTGAATTTTTCACCCATCCGTATTTATTAATTAAAGCTTACTGCTCCTACATATCCTAGCAGTCATCTAATAAATCATGAACCTGTGGTCTTAGAAAGGATTTTTAACATAAACTTCATTTTTGAAACTAAAATACCTAATGTTAATTCATGCGCAATATGATCCTGAAATTGTCTAAATGGTGTTTGCAGGTTGGTGTTGGAGTGGAATGCATTGGGGGTGTGGGGTGAAGCCTTCTCACTATTTTGTGATGGTTTGGCTTGCAACACCGTGCTGACACAGCTTGACCTACGCAACAATCAGATCAACCACCACGGAGCATCGGAACTTGGTCTGGCACTCAAACACAACAACACCCTGGAAATGCTAGGTGATTCACGGTGAAATGATACAGTATATGACCATTTCACTTTGTCTTGATGAATGAGAAACTGTTCAACATTAAGTGGCATGATGTTCTTGCTTTAAATCTTTTTTTATGCCTCTGTGTCCGTGACAACCATGGCCGGAGGCATTATATTTTCAAGGTGTCCGTACATCGGGTCTATCCTCGTGAACAAACACTGTAAATTCTAATTAGATAACCTTACTTAGAAAAAAGCATGTAAACCGATTGACTTAAAAAAAACACAAGTGGAACAGGAATTGTATATTGTACTAATGTAGTGAACTCACACTTGTTTAAATGACTAACAAAAAAAAAACTGCGTACTTGATAATTTACTATTCTCTTGAGTATAAACTACTCAAAATTATTTCAAGCAACTAAATCATTTCAAGTGACATATACTGCATGTTAAGTCCCAAAAATGCATTGAGCTGGACTAACTAATGTGACATTTCATGCAACTTAGAATCTCTCAGTTGTATTTAAATAAGCAGCAATCTGACCTACTTGCCAAAAGCATGCAAAAGACCAAGTAACTGTTACTCCTGTAACTTAAGTGCTTCAAACATCCATTATACATTACTGAAAAACAGGTTCAAATCTCCTAAAATAATCACATTTACAGTAACACATAATAAATCAAGGTAGTGACACAGTTCAAAGTTAAGTTATATGCATTTTCTATGGTTATTGTTTTTCTTCTGTTTATATTAACTGACGTTATGCCATTAAAACTGTCAGATTTTGAGGGTGTTTATTTTAAACAGGTAGCAATATGGTGCAGTTTTACCAATTGGGTTTTATAAAAAAAGTTTTGAAAAAAAAAGTCCTTGACATTTAACATATAATCATGAAACCATAGCTTTAATTCTGTAATAAGCAATAACAAGCAGAACATAGACCAAACTTGTTACAGAACCAACATGCTAAGTGCAAAATGGCTTCACTCAGTAAGCATTATAATAGAAAAGAGTAATGACTCTGGTAACAGGTTTCACACATGTATAAATGAACATACACCGGAATCCATCCATCCATTTTCTTCTGCTTATCCGGGACCGGGTCACGGGGGCAGCAGTCTAAGCAAAGATGCCCAGACTTCCCTCTCTCCAGACACTTCCTCCAGCTCCTCCGGCGGAATGTCGAGGCGTTCCCAGGCCAGCCGAGAGACATAGTCCCTCCAGCGTGTCCTGGGTCTTCCCCGGGGCCTTCTCCCGGTGGGACATGCCCGGAACACCTCCCTAGGAAGGCGCCCAGGAACCACGACAGAGCAGTACATCAACCGCATTACTGCTGAAGCTGCACCGTTCCGCCTGTCAATCTCCCGTTCCATCCTTCCCTCACTCGTGAACAAGACCCCAAGATACTTGAACTCCTTCACTTGAGGCAGGAACTCTCCACCAATACACCCCATACACCAGAATCCTTTAGATGCAATTTGCTGACAAACCCATGGGCTGATTATTTGAAATGAGTAAACATAACAGTAAAAAGCAATGACCTGAATCCATGTCATAAACAAGTGTGATCTAATGACTTTTAGCTGACAGTTTTGGTGGGAGTTTGGGCTCCCACAAGGTAAGAACCACTCTGAATTAAGTTTTTGTCCAGAGATGATGTTCTACCTCTTGAGCTCAGCAGTGATAAGCAGGCTTATCACTGCTGAGCTCAGCTCGTGTGAAATGAGGAAAGTACACTTTTCAGCAACTTCATACGAATCTAAAACTTCTTACACATTTTTAGGGGCATTTCTGCATTATTTGATAGTGACAATAGACAGGAAAGGTAGGGGAGAAAGAGGCCAAGACATACAGCCAAGGGCTCCCTCCAAATCAAATCCCAGTCACTGTGTTTAGGACTTTGCCTGATGTGTCCCCCTGCTGGCATACACTGAACTGTCACAGTTAGAACGCAGACATGCCCATTTCTGTACTGAACTCAGAGGGTTATAATCAGTATTAATCAATTTATCTGACTCTCTGTAAGATACCAGCAAATTTTCACACAACTCTGTGTGCTCCTTTAAGATGCAACTATGAGAACTTATGAAGCAGTAGTTATAGAAGTCACTGGGATTATCACCCAGTAGAACAGGGAGGCCTCAGTGTCCAAGGGTGCACAGTGCTGTCCCATCTGGCTCCTAGAACTCCATAATGATCAAATAAGGTTCATTATTATGCAACATTTAAAAGTTGTAGTACAAACACATTTGTCAAAGTCTATGTTAAAAATGCCACCATGCTGTTTGACAGTACTTCTCAGAATTACTGATTTGAGAAGTGATTTTTAAGGAACAATCCACAGCATTACTGTTATCAATAGCAATGGACCCCAACTCTTTTGACAGAGTTTTGTATTCCCAACACCTTTAAAATATTGAAACAATTTAGGTAGCAACATATACAGTAGGTCCTATAGGAGCTGTACATTGTACATGTATGTTATCACAACATTTCAGTTCTTCCAATAAAAAAAATAAATAAAAAGCTGAATGCAATGAATTAACCCTTTGTCAAACACTGACAGTGCTGATTATAACTCCTTAAACTGAAATATCCTTTAAAATATAGGCTACTGGTGTCTGACTTCCAGTGTACTAGGGCCCACGTTGGCAAAGCAGCTGTTCAGCATGGAGCCCCCTGGAAAGGACAAATAAGTTAAGAAGGTTCCACATATATTGTTGTGGTTTTTATGTGCATGTTATACAGACAGACTTGAGCCAGTTTCTTGTTGATTACTGGTCACAGGCCACTTCACATTCAGCTCATCATAGTGCAAGAAAAGAACCATTTTTTTGGCAAATTCTGTGAAGCTACATTTTTGCAAGTGCAGCTTATCTGCAGAACTCCACCGCTGGAATCTAATTTATGCTGCATGAAGCCATTAGCCACACGGGTCCATGTAAATTTCACTGTCACAATGTATTGGTAAAACTCAATTATAGCAGCTCTAGGGTCATTAATTACTTAATCACAGCAAAAACCCACCCAAATACTGTATAAACACTTTAACTGTTGCTTTAACTCGGGTTACTTTCGTTATTTTTCCCTTCAACGTGATAAAAAGAAAGATAAATATTTGATGTTAATGTTAGTTATGCCCATCACGTAAAGAACGTAACTTCATCACTAGCCTTGTAGACAAGTTAGCTAACCTACTGTTACTGCAGCCTCTTGCCAACCTTCAACTCAGTTCTCAGGGGAAACTGCTTTTGGCTTTAGGAACAGTTTTTAATAGGAAACTGTGTGGTCAAATATACAGTAAATACAGTGCGGTGACCTGTTTGCTGATCCCACTCTCGAATGCCGGCTTATCCACTTGATATTTCACTTGTGCTGTTGGCATTCAGGGTGGGGTAGTAAATTTAACAAATTTATGTAACAGCTATTAGAATTTATAGTGTAATATCTCAGAAACACCCTGAGAGAATTTCTTCAAATTTGGCACCTCTACTACTTCACTCAAGATTGAAGTGATTACATTTTGGTGGTCAAAGGTCAAGTTCACAGTGACCTCACATCCATCCCATTCCTGTGAATCTGACTGGTTGGTGGAGTCATATATGAAGCTGTAATTCTAGTTATTTGTCACAACTGTTTCTGGACTGATGACTCGATGGTTTGACAGGCTTTGTAGTGACATAGAACTTACTTTGCACATTATACTGTTAGGCTGAGCTTTCTTCCTGTAAACACTGATGCCACACCTATTGTCAAACAAATACACAAGTTCAAAACACCTATATGAAGCCCAGTTATAAGGTCCCTTGGTTAAAATCTAGCTTTGCTATCCTGATATTCCTCAATTCCAAAGTTTGTTAAAAGCAACCAGGTTTTCTATTTACATGGACAATTCTATCAGGTTACTGCAGAAAGCAAGAAATAGTCTTTGCTTTGCTTGTTTATTCACTCAAGCTGACTTATGCCTGACTTGGCTTCTTTTTTTTCATCATGCTCACACAATACTTATGTTAAGATGGGGATGTTTTGCAGGTCCTCATCTTTTTCTTCTAGTGGTGGATTATAGTTTTTACTAGTGCAGAATGAAATTCTTTTCTCTGTTGCAGTTAGTGTGACATTGTTATTGTTCTGATGTATATGACTGATGGTCTGCTTTCTTCTCTGATTGTGTTCACAGATCTGAGGTGGAACATCATTGGTCTTCTGGGTGGCAGGTCGCTGCTAAAAGCTTTGCAGAAAAACAAGAGCATAGTGCAGTTGGAGTTGGCAGGGAACAACATACCCAGTGACACACTTAAAGCACTTGGTAAGTCTTCTATTCAGAGGGAGTAATAATTCAAGTTCTATCTGTGATTGTAGTTGAAACTGTGTGGATTCAATTTGAATCCACAATTTGAACCCGGGCCGCAGTGGCGAGTTCAAGTCGGGGTTGCGTCAGGAAGGGCATCTGGCATAAAACGTGCAAAATGTCAACATGCAAATCGTCAGTGTGATGATTCGCTGTGGCAACCCCTAACGGAAAAAAGCAGGGGCAACTGTTGTCTGCCAACCGGAGGGTTGGAGGTTTGAATCTCGGTGCCTGCAGTCCACATGTCAAAGTGTCCTTGGTCAAGACACTGAACCCCCAAGTTGTCCCCGATGGTTAGAGCCACTGGCATGAGTTGGCACCGCAGATAGCTGCCACGGTTCTGTACAAGAAACAAATTCTTTGTGTGTGTAACATACTTGGCCAAATAAAGGTGATTATCCTTCTGAACCCTTATTTAACAGTTTTCATTCATTACTGTGTGACTCTTTTTATTTAACCCTTTCAGAGCAGACCACAGGGCACAATTCCGACAGACAGTCCACCCTAAGAGACAGCCGCAGCAGGACACAGGTTCTGAGCAAGGAGATTCAGACACTGAAGGAGGGGAAGAGCCGCCAGGTAACCTGCAAATTAAAGAATGAAATCATTTTTATATTCTTAATACCTGTAGTTTGGTTCATTTGCCCTAGTCCAAGGAGAAAAAAGAGAAACTGATACCTTTTAATTCTGATCCAGATCATGTTCATGCTGCCTTTTCATAAAAGAACAATAAAAACATGAGGTTACATAGGTTGAAAGGTATAGTAAGTTCTTGATTGGACAGTTTTGATGACATCATTACTTATCACCATCCTCCCTCTCCCCAGACAATGTGGACATCCTCATATTTTTATTTTATTTTGTTTAAACATAGAACATCTTGAATGTTGTTTTTACCTAACACCATGGACAATGCCCCTTGGTTTGTGTTCTTTAAGTAGTTAATGGAAGCAAAGTTATATTTGGCACTATGTTCGTGTTTTTCGTTCAGTGCATTATTCATCAATCAACATTTCATATCTTCTCCTGCTCAGGTCATTTTCAGATTGCAGTTAGTTTCAGTAAGGCTGATGCTGATTAATTTTATAGCTATCACTAAAAATAGTATTTTTGGCTTTTTTCTCAGTGATAGCTGTACAAAATATTTGTCATATTGTTATTTAGTTACTACTCTGAAAACCTTTTGGGCTTCTTTGTTATACACAAGATTTTGGGTGGAATTAAATTATTATTATTAAATTATTCATTAAGTATCAGGATAAGGTTTATGGCCAGAACTCTGGTCTGTTCCTCCTCTCTTTCAGTTCCTAAGCCTGATGGAAACCATAGACAGACAGCGGGAAGAGCTGGGACGCTCCAACAGGTGAGAGCAAATGGTAATATGTTTGGTCATTTGTCATAACCATAGCTGACAGGTGCAACCTCTGCATCAGTCTTTAAACTTTTGCAGTGGAAAGAAAATAAATCCTTAATTGGGCAGCACATTTTTATTGTGGTAGTACATATAAAAATGGGCAGCACGGTGGCACAGTGGTTAGCGCCGTTGCCTCACAGCGAGAAGGTTCCGGGTTCGGGCCCCACCTGGGACCTTTCTGTGTGGAGTTTGCATGTTCTCCCTGTGCTTGCGTGGGTTCTCTCCGGGTACTCCGGCTTCCTCCCACAGTCCAAAGACATGCAGCTTAGGTTGATTGGTGTCTCTAAATTGCCCATAGGAGTGCGTGTGCGTGTGTGTGGATGTTCGTCTATGTGTTAGCCCTGCGATGGATTGTGACCCCGTTCAGGGACTAAGCGGTAGACAATGAATGAAGGAATAGTACATATAAAAGTTTCTCTGCATCTTCCTCAAAAACAACATTGAGATTATAAAACAAACATATTTGCAAGAAAGTCTATTTGTGTATCCACCACCTTGTGGCACTGACCTCATTACTTCCTTTCTGTTTGATTAGATCCGCTTCCGTTCAGATTGGCCAACTCCAGGAAGCTCTGAATGAGAGGAAGTCAGCGGTCAATTCTCTCACTGCCAAGTAAGCATTTCATCCTCCTTTATTCTCTGGTCACAACATGAAAGTAATGTGTGTACTGTAAGTGACTTTATTTGATTTTCAGTCAAACACAAGATTGAATAAAGCACTACAGTGTACAATGTATATTACAGTATGTCTGAGAGGGTTCTCCACTGACTCAACCACAATGATTATTTGATTGTCAGAATAGTTGCTGATAAATTTTCTGTCAATGGACTAATCATGACAGCTCTAATAATAACTCTGATCACATGGTGGTTTGATGTGGAGACTGCAGATGACAGAGGCAGCCCTCGCCCTCTCTGAGCAGAAAAATCACAACATGGGAGAACTGCTGACACGAGTAAAAATGGAGAAAGAAGAGCAGAGGGAGCAACTGGGCAGAGAGAGGAAGAAAGAACAAGAGGTACGGACAAATGGGAGCAGATAAAACTAAATCATTTCACCTTAAATTCAGTGTGATACGCACAGAAAACAAGACAGATGTTAGTTTGACTCGGCCTGTGATTCAACCCTTAACCAGGTCATGAAAGGTTTCATAGTTGCTGATAAAATTTAACATCTTTTGCTATTGACTTTATTTTACAAGGTAAAACAATGTCATATGATCGCAAAGTGGGAGAGTAGTTTAAATAGAGCTAAACAAGCTTAATGATCCAGTAATCGGTAGTATCTCCAGTTGTCTGTTGATTCGAAAAGGAAATTATATGTATAGCATAGGTTTGTCACTTATCAGGCATATTATACTATAATATTTTCCTCATTGCATACAAATGTTAGCAAAACCCTATAAAGATATACTACTAGGTGACGTGTGTCAGCTTGAGTTCCATCGCTTTCAGTTGCTGTAACTTCAGGCTATACCTGCAAGGAGTAGATATTGTTTAGCACTACAGAACAAAACAAATGAAAGAATCACCTCCTGACACTCAGCTGTGAGGAAGAGCCGGAGCCCCTGTCCTGCAGGGACATCGGAACTATTTTTTGAGAAGGAGTGCTGTTGCACACACAGGACAGAGTGACACAGCAGTGCTAATTATCAAAGTTTTGATTTCTCAAAATCAAGACTATCAGACTATACTACAGGAGAGGGGTGTTTGATAGGTGTGCAACATTGTACTTTTTATTGAGTGTTTTAGTCCAACCCACAGTCTTCTCCAAAACCTATCCATGTAGTTTTTGTGCCTAAAGCAAAACAGTTTACTGACTTTTTGTCAAGTACTTTTGGCATCTCACTACTACTGCGAGTGGATTAACATTGTTTTTTACTGAAAAGCCTGTGTGTCTCTTATGGACACCAAAGGTACCCTGGAGCATCAGTATGAGACCCCAAAAGGTATATTGGATGCCCTGTAATAAGAATGCATCATCATACTGCCATCAGCTTTAAGAAGGTCTTCCTTGTTGTAAATGTTTCCCCATTCCAGGCTAGTGAAGCATTAAAGCCTATACAATATATTGTAGCTTTTATTATTGGGTACACTATTATTTTCTGCTTCTGCTTTTTATATTCTAATGCTGTTCTTACTATTGAACAAACCTTTATCTACTGAATCATAACAGTTAACTGTTGCAGTGAAGTGAGAAATAGTGATTTCATCTTAAGTCATTAAACATGTTGCTTTAGATTTGATGATGTTGCATATATTCCTGGCAAACTCTGCCTCTTTCTTGTGCATGAGCTCATAGTTGGATTACCAACCCCATGGATAGCTATACCAGTTCCTCTTATCCAGGATCACCAATGCTAGGTTTACTAATGCCAGATATCTCACAGAGATTGCTTTGTGAGACAGGCCCTTGCATAAAATTGCACACATTTACAACTATCAGATATCACTGGTAAAAATGTGTGCTCAGTATAACATTGATTTCCATCCATTGTAGGACAGTGTACTCAGAGAGGACAAACTCCTCAGAGAGATCCATAACCTGACAGAAACCAACATCCAACTCAGGAATAAAGTAAGAGTAATGTCGGTTCAGAACAGTATACATATTTGTCTTTATATGTGCACTAAAGTGGATTATGAGCACTGTTAGATGTGTTCTTTGTGTGTGTGTGTTAGGTGGAGGAGATGGAGCGCAGGTGTAAGTCTCAGCAGCAGCAGATCTTTGAGCTGAAACAGGAACTGACCAACACTACAGCCGAGTTCAAGCTGCGATTAGCGAAGGCAGAAGGTAAACCACACTAACAGAACACAGTCTTTTTTTTTTTTACATGAAAACTATCAGAAATATTTTGTATGTTGCTCTCTAACAGACCGTCTGGAAATAGAGAAGCGAAGGTCCAAGCAAGCCCTGGAGGACATGGACAGTCTCCGACAGAAAGAGGTGCTCTCTAAATTCTAAGCAGCTTCCAAAATAATCCAACAACATTTTGAAGAGACAGGCCATTTCCTTAATGTGGGCACACAATCATCAACCGCTGCATTGATTATAGGGATGTAAAGATAAACTGATACAAGAGTCAGATTTACGGCTGCGTCGGGTTGAAAACCACAAAAATTAGTTTAAAAATTGGACTAAAATCGAGATGGACCTCATAAACTGATGTTTGGCAAGTTTTGTGTTACATCTTGCTGTGAGGCGACAGCGCTCACTACTGCAACAAGCCGCCAAGTATTAAATATCTTTAAAAACCCATTGCATGCTCATTTCCAGCTGTTTAATGTTTAATCTTGGGTATCTCTGTATTAGCTTTGTACCCATGATAACTCCAAATAGTTTGTAATTATTTCAGAATGATAAAACCAGAGAGCCTCCTCCTAAAACTGAGAGGATAGTTTGTGAATGTGCACAACTCCTGCTGCCGGTGTTGTGTAGAAAGTGGACAGCACAATGAACCATGATGGCATTAATTAATTTGTATTTCTCCTTCATATATAGGTAAACAATAGTGTATGTACTGATGAAAAGAGCGACGTCACCTCCTGTCTGGGCCAGTCGGGTTGAAAAAGTGACATTTGAACACACCACACAGACTACAGCCAGCAGCCAATTAGCACGCACATTCTGCACCTGCGTGACAAAAATAACTCTCCCTACCTGCAGGTGGTGGTAGCTGTATTCGTCATTCAGAAAGGGGAAGAAAGTAGACTGCGGATATACAGACTATAAACAAATCCACTTTTGTTCACAACAGCTGCTGTTTATAGCTGCTTCTAATTGAGGATATGTCTGATAAGAAGTTGCAAATCTCAATGCTTCTGCTGTTGGTCTACTGATGTACATGTGACAGTAATGCAGCAAGAAATGAATAGAAACAATGCAGGTTTCAAACTTTTATGAAAAATTTGCTTTGCAAATGCTTTATGGAGAAGAAAATGCATTCATCATGTGTGTTAGACCTCAAGGACATACACAATGTATTTTAGTGATTAACACTGATTTAAACATAACTTTTGTTTGTTTACATGAAAACTGTACAGGGCCCTTATAAAGACTTTATATGAAAAAGAGGTTTGAGGTTTGGATTAGGCTAATGGCGGAGGTCCTTTTCGATGTCAAATTACTGAAATGTGTCTCTGCATTGTTCTTACCTTGTATACAATTTTAAATCTTCAGCCTGAGGTGTGAGCGGCTTAGAAACCGTGCCACATGTTATGCCACACCCAGGCGAACAATCGGATATGCAAGGGTAAACCCACCCATGCACAGTGCTCCACTGAGACTGCAGGGAGCTACGTGAAAATATCTGTGCTAAGCTAGCTGACCCCAACTGTGGTTGAAAAAAAAGACTCCTGCCATTCTGAAACATCCAAGTCTCGAGCCTGAAACTGCAAGTCCCTCTCCTCGCCATTCAGGATCAGTGTCTTGTTTATATATGTCTAAATACTGGCTTACATTTCCAGCTACATCCTTTACACAAGGTAAAGAGTGGCAGTGATCATAAGATTCATATGTGCTATTCTGATTGGTTGGGGGTGAAGATGAGTCATCAGGAACAGAGGGGAATCTGGACTGTGGACGGCTGAATTTAACGAAACCCAAACAACTATGGGTGGATAAAATAGCACAGATAGGTTTAAAATATTCTAAATATTTATAAAAGTGAGTCAAAAGTGGCCATAATACTACCTCATTAATGGAAAAAAATACCCATTATCTAAACCACAGGAGATTAAATAAGAAATAAAGCATTCACACATACCATGACATTTTTCTTATTTCTTAAATTTGTAGAAGAATTTATTAATGTTATTTATTATTTCCCATTCTGAAGAGGTCTTAAGTCTTTTCATCACTGTGAAGTTGTCAAAGAATCCAGTGTAGATATAGTAATCTAGAAAATTAATGCAGCTGACCAAGAAATATTCCACCACATGATCCTCCTTTAAAACCATGTGTCATTTTTACATAAACAAGATGTTAAAGGTTAATTAGTGAACTTACCGGTAATAGTATTGGGGGTTAAGTTTTTCATGAAAGAGTAGTTTATTTTATATTTCATTTTTTTCTGTATTATTTACTAAAACTCAGTATTCTAATAGATGTGGACTTTTTCAAAAGATAAAAGACCAAAAATTCTAATTTCTGTACAGGTGGAGCAGGTGAATCGACATCTAGAAGAGAGTGAGAGAGCTCTGCAAGAACGCATCTTCAAATTGGAGGGACAGCGGATACAATTGGAAGAGGTCAGAGCTCAGAGTATCCATGTGTAAAAGATGAAAACACAATGTGGGGCATCCTGACAGCCTTGGTATTCAGCCCCACATAGGTTGCTATCATTTTGCAGCTTAGACTTAGAAGAAACCTCAGGAAGAGCAACAGAAGAGGGATCCCTTTGTATGCTTGACTAAGTAGTTATACAGCCATTGTCATGCAAGCCCACAAGCCATGGGATTTGGTTTCCATCTCTACTATCCTTCCCATCTGAAAAACACGCAACATTAACCTACAGCCAGAAATTTCTGCATTGATAATAGTGTAGCAGTGGATCTTACAAATTACCCACTGGTGCTGCTATGTATAAATTCTTAAAACTTTATCTACATGTTACAACAACATGTACACCACATGAACACATCCAGAAGTGTGATTGGTCAGCCTGGGCCACTTGTGTGTGTGTGTGTGTGTGTGTGTGTATGTTTACGTTCTGATGGTGTTGGACATTGCTGATAGTGAAAACACTCAGGAAGATGGAAAAAACCCACTATGGACTACAGACTTTCTTAACTGTTTTTAGTGCTGGACTGTTGAGTTATGAAACTATCTACACTGCTGGTGGAGAGAGACAGTTGGTAGACACAGTTAATCAGCATCTACACATTGGATCCAACCTGGATCTTTCTAATCTTGGATCATTTCTACACATTGGAATAATAATGAAATAAAATCCAGCTTCCCTCTGATAGGGACACCTCGAGGCCAGAGTGAGAACAACTGCTCTGATCTGCAGTACATTTGTACTGTAATGTCATGTCATGTGATAATATAATGTTCGTTTATTGTAGGAGCTGAGCAAAGCTAAAGCAGCGTGTGTAACAGAGAGGGCCCACGCAGAGGTGGAACTGGGTAGAGTACGAGCTCAAGTGCGCCTGGAGGAGGTGGGTTATGAGATTGGCATCTTTAAGCAGTTACTAAGATCACACTAACTTTCCATCAACTGCCCAGTGAATGGAGAGCAAGATACCTGAAAAACCAATGCCCAAACTGGCATTAAACTATAAGTTCTGGATTTTTATGGTTCCCCAATATTAAAATTGATTCCCCTGACCTTTTCTGTAGTGTCACCATCAGATGCAGTGCATAAAGCTAAGACAAACCACTTTTATGCTTCTGTTTCTCCATCATCTTCTGTCTTCTTGTCTCCTTTGAGCAGCAGGAGCATGTATCATCCTTGGAGGAGAAGCTTCACTTGGTGCGTTCCTCCCTTCAGGAGGTGCAGCTCCACAGCTCCCAGCAGAAACAGACCATCTGTGACCTGCAGGCCAGGAACAGCCAGCAGAGCATTGAGATGGACGGGCTGCGGCGCAGGATAGAGGAGCTCCAGCAGGTCAGGACCCAGCAGCTCTTTTACACAAAGAATATTTCAGGCTCACACTGTGTTAGCATGAATTAAAATAAAGTGTTGGCAAAGATGATTCAACCAGTAGAGTTTCATGTCACCCAACATTATCTGTAAATATACAGGAGTAAAGTAACTGTCCATGGTGTACCACTCGTATACAGCAGGGGAAAACCCCAACTCACACTCCTGACTGCTGTGCTCTGCTCTTCTCCATCTGAACTACCTCCAGAAGTGATAAATAAATGGTTTTTGTTTGTTAGAATCACTGTGTTTTGGGTATCAGGAGCTGTCGGGTAAGGACCAGGAGAAGTTGGCTGAGGTGAGCCGGGTCAGAGTGGAGCTGCAGGAGCAGATTGGACATTTACAGGCAGAAAGGACAGCGCAGGGAGGCCTTAAAGAGAAGATCAGTGCGCTGGAGAGAGAGATTAAAGGTACACACCTACAGTTTCTTTTTCTTATTTTTACTTTGTTTACCTCTTCTTTCCCAAGAAATCAAATCATTTCCTATTACACATTTGAGTCATTTGTTCCATTGCATCTTAATTTGTCATGTATTTCTTTAGACAAATTAACTTGCAACATGAGCTGCCCTAATGAATTATATCGACCACGTTTTACATGTGTAACGATAAAGTAGAATTACCCAGGTCAACCAGTAATATAAAGAATTTGAACATTCAACAAATTTGATTGGATTGAAATATCTTGTCCCATAACTGGGTCGAACAGTGTAGATTTCGAAATGCATCATGTTTGAGGTCGGAATTATTTCTTGTCATGTTGTCTTTTAAACCCTTTCTGCCTCTGTGGCTTAATGTCCTGCAGTAGTGAGCAGTAACCACAGAGAGGCGCTCCTCGACAAGGAGAGTGAGATGTCTCATATGCTGGAGAAGCTGCGGCTGAAGGAGGCTGAGATCCAGAGGATGAGGGAGGACGAGGCCAACAGAGCCAGCTACCTGCAGAGTGCCATTCTCACCTACGTTCAGGGCTCCCCTCTGGGACAATACAGCAGCCCCAGAAAATGACCTAGAGACCACAGCACCTCAGCAGTAACCTCTGAGCTCTGACTGGGATCCTGCACAGGCCAGGACAGTCTGCAAAAAATAATAACTATGATGAAAACAGGAAACATAGTAGGATAACTGAATAATTGGTGCTGGGCAATATGACTATAAGGGCTACAAAATGGATGGATCCAGCCAAGAAATGGAAGGTTTACGACTGCAGATTTTTTAAAATTATTCAAATATCCCATTTGCTCCCAGTTCTTGCACTTCAGTCAGTACTTTAGTTGTAGTTTGAACTGCTGTTGCTACATTGCCTTCATGCTAGTTTTACTTGTTTAGTCCCAACACATATGCTTAGTTTACAAAGAAGCACTGATATTAACAAGTAATCATTTTTCTTCATTTCAAATTATTTTGCCCCAGTAAGGACAGCAGCCAAATTGAAAACCTAAAGGAAATGTATGTTTTATTACAAGCTTGAGTCTCATTTTCTTTGTTTTATCCATCATTTCTTTCTGTCTGTCTGTTATAACCTCTCTAGTCACTAAAGTAGTAGCTGAGATCTGATAGGTCAAGAAACAGAAGCAGCCAGACAATCATAAGAGCATATCCAGATTAGCTAAACTACTTTACTTGAAGATTTTTTTTAAAGTGTAATTGAGCAAATCTAAAATTACAGTAACAATCCCTCATTGTTCAAGTTCGAGCACTATGTGATTCTGTAAACCATGTTTACAACAGACAGTGTGGGTACTGATTTTACTGTTCATCTTAGTTTTCTATTCAAAATAGGTTTGGCTAATATGGTTCCAGACCTCAGCATCACCAGCCCAATCTTAGATTTGTTCACTGATTCAAGTAGGTCTGGTGTTGTGTCCACGGATGGTTGTTTCCACTGCAAACAGACAGTTGATAACTCAAGAGCTTTATGGACCAGTTCAAAGACTATGTTAAATTTATTCAAACAGGCAGTTTTTTATCAGGTCTGTTGGTCTGTCCATCCACATTTTGGTCTTTAGCTTAGCTTGGGTAGAGTCTACAGTCATGCCAATGGAATTAATTGTTCCTCACTGCTCAATCCTCACTCAACCTGTAAGTCATTCTGATCTGCCATCTTGAAGGACATCCCAAAGTTCTTATTCAAGTCCCCAAAATGGTACCTGTGATTAATTGATTATCAGCTAACTGCTGTTAATAATTTAATTGATTACAATACCTGTGACAGTATCTGTGCCTCTCCGGGAACAGGAGTCCCAGCTGTCCAGGCGCTGGACAATCGCGGTCTCCAGAACAAATATTAAATGAAACAAATCTTTAGAAAACTGTAGCAATTCAGTGCTTCAGTGAATAGACCTTTCATCTGTCACCAGTCAGTAAAGTGGTGTAAGTGTAGTGAAGTTCTTATGTTAAGGTCATTTCTAAAAATGAAAGAAGTGCTGTTTAAAAAAATTTGAAGTGTGAAATCAATCAATTTATAAGCACATTCAAAAACAGGAGTTAATCAAAGTGCTGTACATCAGACAGTAAGATAACAATAAAACCATCTAAAACAACCAAACAATTAACCATCACAAACAAAAGCAAGATTTGAACAATTCCAGCATTGGTGATAGTCAGATATCTAATGGCAAGCTACTGCACAATTTAGGGCCAGAACAGCAAAGGCATGGCCCCCTTTGAGTTGAAATCTGGACCTCAGAATGACCAGAAGCATCTGGCCAGAGGACCTGAGGGCCCTGCAGGGAGTGTGGAATCAGTCAGTCCATCAGCTTTATTTAAAGTGCAAAATCACCACGTAGCTTTACAGTTAAAGACAATACATGGGACAAAACATAGAGCAAGCTAATAACCAACCACATTGGAAAAAATGCTACAAACATTAGAATAAAATGAACATTTTAAGTAAAGATACCATGATAAACAGTCATTTAGGTTCATAAATAGATAATAAAAATTAAAGATAAAATAACCACATTAAAAACATCAATATTATCAGAATTTGAATAAGACAACCAGATGAAAACATTCGAGTTAAATTGATGATAGAAAAGGCGATGGACCCAAAAAAATGTTCTAGAGTGGGCTGCATTAAAGTGAGTAAAGGGAGGTTTTCAGTCTTGTTTTAAAGATTTCAACTGAGCACGCTTCTTCAACCTGTAATGGAAGGCCATTCCAAAGATAAGGGGCACAGTACGCAAATGCTCTGAAGCCAAGTGACTTTTCTAACTGAAGGAATGAGACTGAGGTCTTGTTGAAAGAATTTTATCTCCTATAATCGGCCCTATCATAAATTTTTAACATGTGGTCACATCATCCCTAAAAACAAAACAAAACTTTTGTTCGCACAATAACTGAAATGCTTAAAATGTACTCTAACTATTAAGTTATATGTTTTGCTGTCCAGCTCCATTCTCTTGAACCCATTCTTATTTTCCTCTAGTGTAAATGAATTGAAAACAATGCAGTAGTGTTTACATACAAAATGAGATTTGGTTCAAATAGGCTTTAATGGCATATCTATCAAACCAGGCAGCTGCCCATCTGCAGCTCAGGTGCAACAACAAAGTTTAAACTGTTGTTTTTATAAATGATATTTTTTGAAGAGAGTCCTAATTAAACTATGTTTTTTATAAGTCAAATTACTGTTTTATATCTTGATAGGGTTTCACATACAGTATGTGATTGATATGTGTGATTTTATTTTTGCAGTTGTGTTTTTAGAATTATGCTCAGGTTTTGATTACATGCATTTTTAGATACAGTAAAATGTGGCCTTTTCTGAAATGTCTGGTGGTTTTTCTTAATATGGGAATATTTTAGTGGTTGATCTAAATCATTCTCGTCAGATTACATTACAGTATCCAGAGTGTGTGTAAGTGGGGTGGGGATGTATGAGGTCATTGGGTCTTGAAATTACAGCCAAAGATCCATGACTTTTAAGATCATTCACACTCGTTTTACTGTGCTATTCTGTGGTTTGTACACCGTGTGGACAATGATACAACTTAATGAGGACCATAATGCTGTCAGTAGGCCTACAGTAGGCTATTTTTAGGTTGAAGGTACTGGTAGCGGATATTTCGAATATAGATGTTCAGTATCTTGAATGTTGGAATAAAATATATTTTTTAAAATTTATCAGTGTGGTAGGCCTTAATTGTACTGGTTTAGTAGTCTACACCTATTTGAAAAGAGAATGTCTGCCACCAAGATACTGGTTAGAGTGCCAGTGTTTAAGTCAAACGGGTTCTTAGCACATGCTAACTATGCTGCACATTAGATAAATATGGTGGCCTAAAGATCTGAAAGGGGTTAAAGATTAGCAGGGAGTTTGTATCTGATGTCAGGCACTACCATCTGACTTTTTAAAGATGTTGCCTTCGAGTTTGGAAAGTTTATATCTATTGTTCAGGATAAACTCACAAATAAATAAGCAGACTTTGTAGGCTACATCAAAATGAGAATCACAGCCACGTTTATAATATACTATTTCAAAAATGATTTAATAGCCTATAAACAGTCGTGACTTCCTATATCTCATTATTGATTGTTTTGTGATTCTTAACATTTATAAAGTTCTTTTTATGGTAGAAGTGGGCTTTCATAGCAGGCTAATTTGCTGTATCATTCCCCATAGCAGTGGTAGCGAAGGCGGAAGTACACCACTTGAATCATCTCTTCTTCTACCGAGGTTCTCCTTTTCCGCAATCCGTCTCTTTAAACACATTCGGTACTTTCCGGACTCGCTCGGTGCTGTTCGTCATCTACTCCTTTCACTGCGGCTCCATCGCCGAGCGGACTGGCTCGCTGCTCTCATCCGAGACATCAGCGTGCACTGTTGGATCTATTAACGCACCAGCGCCCGGCTCCCTGGAAGCTTCTAGCTCGTGTACAAATGCAAGCTATCAAATGCGTGGTGGTCGGCGACGGGTAAGAACACGCTTGAAAAACAGAGCACCCGCACATTTTTACGTCTGTGATTCAGTGATGAGTCCGCGGATGGATGGATGATAGGAGCTGCCATGTATGAAAAGGGCTGGGGCTCAGCGGGCTGTTGGTCGCCTCTATCGTCTGCTCTCCGATGCTCGACATATCCCCATTGTTGTGTGCGTTGGGAGCGCTTTAGGTTTGTTCACATCGAGCCCTCGGGTTCATTGTAATGGTAGGAGCGAAGCGCCTCGGGATGCTCGGGAACACCTACACGCCCCGTAGGCCACTGGAGGCAGGCTGAAGTGCTGATGCACGCTCAGTAATCTGTGGCCCTGTGGCCCTGCTGCCCCAATTCTGCTCAGTGTCCTTACTTCTTACTGCATCCAAAACCCATTCGACTAAGACTAGGAAGTATGTGCTAACATCAATGTCTTTCTTAGAAAAACTCAGAATAGGCCTACGATTGAAGTCTATGTCAGTTTAAGTTTATAATTAGTCACAGTACTGACACTAAACAAGTTGGTCTTGCAGCTTTTTTAGAGTTTTGACTTTTTCCATATACTTCAGATTTTTCTAGGTTTAAACTCAGGGTGAAAAGGTTGTGGTCCTAATCCTACATTAGTAGATTATATTGCCAATGATGTGTGCAGACAGAGGTTATTGGGAAGTCTCAAAGGTCATCGGCCTTTTACATTTTTTCACATCAAGCTCAGTTTGGCCCTGTGATAGACTGGCGACCTGTCCAGGGTGGACCCCACCTCTTGTCCAGTGTCAGCTGGGATTGGCTCCAGCCCCTCTGTGACCCTATTCAGGAATAAGCAGTATAGATCATGGATGGATGGATGCTGAGTTTACTGGTCATGTGGAGAACAACTCAGCTGGCTGTGGAGCAAACTTTCTAAAGTCTGAAAAAAATCCCTGATGATGCCATCAGGATGATTTCACCTGGCCTATTAAACTACACGTCTTTGAAAGATGTAGGTGTTTCCAAGCCAAGAAGGGTCTAAAGGTGTGGGCAGACTCAGTGCTTATAGAACTTCTGCTTTGTATTTTGTAAGCAAGATAGTGTGTTGTTGTTGTTCCCTTTTGGAATATACAGACACTAGACAAATGTCTAGTGTGCCTGTTCTGTGTTTAGTGGAGATGTGTTCAGAAGGAAAGAAGAAGCAGATTTTCACCTGATCTAATTTGTACCATTTGACCTGGGACTGTTTGTGTATGTCTCCCCCAAACAGTACAGGTGTAAATAATTAATGAATGGTGGCTGAATTCCATTTAGCTGCTTCGGTTTCAGGATCCTGCTGTTGTAAATGTTGGCTGACTGTCGCGCTGTCGGAAAAGAGTGGATATGTACTTGCACTGTTGAGACAGTTCAAAATGACTCCTGTGAAAAAGGCCAGCTGCTCATTAGCTCATTATTATATTAGCTTTCAACAGTAAACCCTGTCAATCAACAATCACTGTTTGGATGAATGTTTGTGTGAATGGCAGCATCAGCAAGCCAATCAGACAGCTGACTGGATATTCCTCTTTTACACTGATGGTTTATGGGGAGAGTGCTTTCTGGGCAGCAGGGAGTTTTTTATTTCAATACCACAGACATAGATTGGCAGCAAGCATGAGCTTTCTGAACACGTCCTTGCGTTAGCTGCAGCTAACTAGCATCTGTTTGTATAACAACTCACATGCTGACTAATCTCAAAAACTCCAGTTCTTTCTGTTCCGTGTTTACAAATTTGCTTGATATTTAGAGACTTGGGGTGGAGACTTGGGGTGTAAAGACAGGGATATGTATGAATTTGTCACTCAAGTTGAAACACTTGACTCATACCTTGTCCTTTTTTTTCTTTTTGCTTTAACTTATGCCATCTACAGTAGTTTCTCACTTGGTTCTCTATATTGATATACTGTATATATCAAAATATATATGCAGTAGAATTGAGACTGAGAGGATTTATTTTATGGGGAGGATGTGTGGGCGGGAGGCAGAGTTAATGTGTCATACACATTTCAGAGATAATGTTAGGTGACAGTTGGAGGTGCACTTCAAGTCTTGGATGGACATGAAAAACTCTATGTTGAATCATCAGAACAAAGGATGTGAACCATCACATTAGAGAATTTGACATTGTGCAGCTGTGGCGCTGTGTTGCGGCCTCACCTGCACCTCATTCTCTCCTACTTCATAGCAGTGCCACTTAAGGCTCAGTGGAAGTGCAGTGTGTTGAGCCAAGTGCCGTGATGGACAAGATCAGATTTTTCAAAAACATCTTTAAAACAATTCCAATGAATGGTCATAACGTAAACCTGTAGCACCAATGTGTTATCAGACTGCTGTGTTTCTACACAGGAACACTGAGCAGATCCTTAAAACACTGAAGTAGGAATTTACAGTGAATCAGAAGCTTCTCCCGCTTCGAAACTCTATTTGTGCCTGCAACAAAATCAACTCTGTGTTCTGAACTATATCAAGTTGCCCTGTGAGATGTTTAGGACAGCGTTTTTGGAGCTTGACCCAACATATGGATTGAAAGTCAGGATATCTTGGACTTTGCTGCATCTGTTTTTTTCCATTCTTATTAGAATCTATCTTTCACTATGGACATCTGATGTTAAGTCACTAGATGAGATGAAGAATTCAAATAACGCACTTCTTCCTTGTACTAAATGAAAAGATGAACTGAAGCTGTCTTCCCTCATCCTCGATCACTCCGTTTTGCTCTCCATCCTAGCCAGAAGAGCTCACTGACCTCAAATCCCTTTCATGGCACCCTCACACATATTGTCATTGTATCACCACCATTTGTTGTTTCTGTGGAGAACAACAGAAAATTTCTCATTACTTCATGCATGGGCAAATCACCAAAACCCATCCACCCACCCTTCTAATCTGTGTGGCTTGTGTCAGTACAGTACATTGCAGAAGGGGAGGGGGTATGGTTGTGTGTACTGTATGTGAGCAGGAGAGGGGTAGGTTGTGCATATGCGTGTGTGTGTGTGTGTGTGTCATGAGGAGATGTGGAGAAAACGTGTTATCTCCTGCTGCAGAGTGGCCTTGTAACCAGCAGGGCACACTGCCTTTACACACTTAGACAGCCTATGGAGATTTTGTTTTGTGCATATGCGGGTGGATTGTGGAGGGGGCTCTATTATAAGTTTGCAATCTCTTGTCCCTTTCCTCAGGGCTGTGGGTAAGACCTGTCTGCTGATTAGCTACACCACCAATGCTTTCCCTGGTGAATACATCCCCACTGTGTGAGTAAACCACATACTGTGCATGTTCTCATAATTATTCGATGTAAGCAGTGGTTTTATATGGCGGCCCTGGGGTGAGCAATCACTTCTGATTATGGAAAAGGCTGCTTGTGAGTGAAACAAAAATATTTTAGAGAACAAGAATTATCACAACAGAGAAAGTTTCCTTAAAAAACAACATTTAATGAAAGACATGATTTTATAAAACACAACATTTCAGATTATAGTAGGGATAACACTTCTTGCTCGTGATTGGTCAGAACCCAAGTCAGTCAAGATCTGTGATACCTATGTGTTGGTCATGGATGTTGATGGAAGAATATATTCAGATCATACAGGGGCATTGTGGTGATGGACATTACTGATAAGACTTATTTCTGAAACCATTCACATTTTTCAAAAGATCTGAAACTCTAACTGTGCTCTCAGATAACGCACAACAGCAGTCAAAGACACACACTAAAGGGATTATTCTAAGACACTTCCACCAAAGGTGTTTTAACCTTTGTAACACTGTGGCACTGACCATACAGATTACCTTCAAATAAACATACTGTCAAAAAACATTCCAAATAATACTATATCACACCCTTGCCACAGTGGTGGACTCAGGCTGTCAGAGGGGCAGGGACGAAAAAATATGAAGGGCACCTGTTACGTTCAACATGAAGTGGTGCATATGTTATCTTCACAAAGGAATAAGTGAAATCCAGGATGAGTTTGGGCAGTAAACTACCCGACTCTTCCTCTCGATGTTGATCATGAAATCTCACTGTATTAATGTTACAGGCGACTGTGGTTCAGTAGGTAGAGCAGTCGATCTCCCAACCAGAGGGTCGGAAGTTCGAATTTCAGTGCCTGCAGTCCAGGTGTCGAAGTGTCCTTGGGCAAGACACTGAACCCCCCCCCGTTGCCCCCGATGGTTAGAGCCATCGGTTGAGTTGGCGCCGCAGATGGCTGCCATCGGTTCTGTAATGGAAACAAATTCCTTGTGTGTAACATACTTGGTCAATAAAGGTGATTATCCTTATCAACAATTTAGCGTCTCCTCTCAAGCTAAATCCACAGTATTTTTGACAAAATGTGAGTGAATTAAGTCCTGAATCACTCACTAATCTGCAGAGAAGGAAAACACAAAGACTGTGTGTCTCTGCGTGTGTAAATCTGCCATCCCACTCATAACGGGGGTTGAGGATACACACCTGTGCACATCCAGTACACTGAAAAAAAGGAAACACCGGGTCTTTGGATTTACACAAATTATGCTAGTATATGCAACGCAATTCATTCATATTTCCTCTGTTAACATAAAGAAAATTATGCTGGTTTTACACATTATCATTGTGTGGGACCGATGTACACATTACAATCAAGTAAATCCAACAAATCTTTTTTTTCAGTGTACGATCCATGTCATAGTGATGATTTATAAAAAATTTATTTTTTTTACAGATTGACCCAAAAACATTGATTTCCAAAAGGAAATCAATGAATAAGTCAGAGTTTAATAAAGACTTGGGTCACTAACAACCTGTGGTATACATTTGAAGGTTAAATGCTTTTCAAACGTGTTCTCAACTCGAGTCATGTAGCACTGTGATATACATAGGAAGCCTATATCTGCTAAAAATCCAGATGCTTACTCCTGGAATGAATGTTGCTAAAATCGTCCCAGGGTGCCGCATAAAAATGCTGAAGATACTCCTTCTTGTCAGTCCTGCTTTTTTCAAGCTGTTACCATGGCCCAATATTTGTGATATCTTAAGATGTTATAAAGAATGACATATCATATTACTGTAATGTAATGTAATTCTTGTAAATTTGTGTTTTTCACATCTGAGCCACTGCAGTTTCATGTTCAAGGACCTTACCATAATTCAGACATATACTGTATATCTTAAGACAATAAAACTGTCAATGAATAGGACTGATTTAGAATGTATTTTGAATTTAGCAGCAGTGTTTAGGTTTGTCAGGTATTTAACTTAGAGCAATGCACAAAAACTGATCATCCCATCTGGTTACTTTGTCTATGAAGTTATCTATATGTATAAAGTTGTGAAGTTTATTTTTGACTTTAGAAAAAGTAGGCCAACAGAATTACAAAATGTGACTCAAAGTTGACTTTCCAGATTTTAACTGCATTTTATGGGCTTTGTCGGCTAAGATGTCAGTGCAAATGATTTTTGTGCAGACTAAACAGTGACAAAACATTTTCATTTTTGAGCTGCACATATTGTGACTTCCAGATTGAGGTAAACTAGCTGGTTCAGGCTAGCTGCTTACACCTGCGTCCTAAGGCAAACTAACCAATGGCTAGCATTTAGCTGGTGCCAGTCTTCTCATAATTCAGCAAAAGAGCATCACAGACAACTTTTTGTATAACAAAGTATTCAGACCCCCTTAAATTTTTCACTCTGTTATATTGCAGCCATATGCTAAAATCATTTAAGTTCATTTTTTTCCTCATTAATGTACACACAGCACCCCATATTGACAGAAAAACACAGAATGTTTGACATTTTTGCAGATTTATTAAAAAAGAAAAACTGAAATATCACATGGTCATAAGTATTCAGACCCTTTGCT